GGAAGCCTGCTTCTCCCTCTCCCACTCCCCCTGCTTGTGTTCCTGCTCTTGCTCTCTCTCTGTCAAATAAATAAATAAAATCTTAAAAAAAAAAATAGCGACACCTGAGTGGCTCAGTCGATTAACTGTCTGCCTTCGGCTCAGGTCGTGATCTCAGGGTCCTGGGATTGAGCCCCATGTCGGGCTCCCTGCTCAGCAGGGAGTCTGCTTCTCCCACTCCCTTTTGCCCTTCCCCCACTCAAGTTCTCTCTCTCAAATAAATAAATAAAATTTAAAATAAAAAAGTTAAAAATAGAACTACCCTATGATCCAACAATTGCACTACTAGGTATTTATCCAAAGGATACAAAAATACAGACGTGAAGGGGTACATGCACCCAGATGTTTATAGCAGCAATGTCCCCAGTAGCCAAACTATGGAGAGAGCCCAAATGTCCATCGAAAAGATGTGGTGTATATATACAATGGAATATTACTCAGCCATCAAAAAGAATGAAATCTTGCCATTTGCAATGGATGGAGCTAGAGCGCTAAATGAAATAAGTTATTCAGAGAAAGGCAAATACCATATGATCTCACTCATATGTGGAATTTAAGAAATAAAAGGATGAACATATGGGAAGGGGGAAAAGAAAAAAGGAGAGAGGGAAGGAAATCATGAGTCTTTTTTTAATTTTTTAATTAACATATATTATTTGTTTCAGGGGTACAGGTCTGTGATTCATCAGTCTTACACAATTCACAGTGCTCACCATAGCACATACTCTCCCCAGTGTCCATCCCCTAGCCACCCCATCCCTCCCACCCCCCTCCACTCCAGCAACCCTCAGTTTGTTTCCTGAGATTAAGAGTCTCTTATGGTTTGTCTCCCTTTCTGGTTTCGTCTTGTTTCATTTTCCCCTCCCTTCCTCTGCCTTGTTTCTCAAATTCCTCATATCAGTGAATCATATGATACTTGTCTTTCTCTGATTGACTTATTTCGCTTAGCATAATACCCTCTAATTAGAGAACAAACTGAGGGTTGATGGAGGGAAGTGGTGGGGGATGGGCGGGATGGGGCTTCAGGAGGGCACTTGATGTGATTAGCAGTAGGTGTTGTATGTAAGTGATCACTGAATTCTGCTCCAGAAACCCTGAGATCATGACCTGAGCCAAAATCAAGAGTCCGAGGCTTAACCAACTGAGCCACCCAGGTGCCCCAAAAGCTACAACGGTTTTGAGAGCTACACTGGCAAAATTGCTGCCAGCATAACCTTAGAGAAATTATACAAAGACATGAAGGCTCAACTTCCTATGTGCAGAAAGCAAGCTGAGAAACTGGGCCATCCATCAAGAGGGTCATATTCTCCAAGGTCCTCTTCAGAAGTGGACAGGAAGGTTGATAAAACAGAGACATCTCAGAGGGAGGAACCAAGACCTCACAGGACAGTGGGCTGAGAAGCTCCTAATAGAGAACAGAACTGAAACTTCATGAAGCAACATTTCCATCCCCAAAATTGTGGCATCTGGTGGCATTTTCCCAAAGTGATTTTGGAACTGCTGCAAACCAGTGACTGCTGTATGTCACCCACACACCTAAGGAGGAAGCTTTTCAAGTGAGAGTATTGTGGTTATCCCACTTTTGTTTTGTCATCATATGGCAGATGTATAGGTCAGCTAATTTGTGTTTTTAGTTCATGAGTCCTGGATCCAAAGGAGCCACCTATAGACTTGATAATGATCACTAGGTGCTGGATTTAAAACCTGACACCATTATTGGATGGAAATTTGGGGGAACAGGTCCTGGGATGGGAATGAGCATATTTTGTACATAGGATGTATACGAATAACTGTGGCCAAGAAGTCATAGTGCAATAGTTCGCATTAATAGCCCCTCAACTATGGATTCAGCTGTGTTATTTGCTTTGGTCAACAGGATAAGATGTAAATGGCAATACTTTAACTGCAGCCCAGGTCTTCAGGGGCACAGCATATTTTGATTTAGCCCCTGTGCATCTTCCATTTCCACGAGGACATGTGAGAGCTGGCACATTGTTCTCAGGGGGAAGATGAAGGACATGTGAACCAGAGCCAAGTCACCTCATCTGAATGCAGAAAGACCTGGACCAGAAATAAGTGGATCTGGGAGATGTGGAGAGCATGTGTGCATTTGTGCATTCAGACATACATTCCCATTACTAGTTAGGGTTGAACTTTGGTGATTTCAAATCTTAACAAAAATCAGGACTCACTTTCCATTGGTGTTGTGTTGGAATGTTAACTTCTGAAAAATTGTACTTAAAAAATAATTGCAGGACAAGGTTGAGGTTGAATCAGAAGGCGATGAGCTTTATGAGAGTCAAACAAGGTGTCTTTAATAGACATGTAGTGACCCAGAGTTGTAGTGGCCCAGGATTGGGGCTTTTCTCTGCTTACTCTGTCTTCCCTTCCAGTCTTAATCCCTCCAGTAATTTCAATCCAACCTGAGGGACTTGATCTATTTTGCCCTCTCAGAGAATGTATGAAAATCTGCTTTTCATTTCTTGCTCAACTGTGTGTTACCTTTGCTAGGGTATTGCGTATCTGAAGTGCTGACATCTGCTTTGAGATGTAGTATAGGATTTTTCAACCCTTGTAACATTGTGTATCAGCAGACAACCATGTTTCCTCCCACCTCTCATACCTCCAGGCAGGGGACCTAATAATTCTAGAAAACTGATGTATAGTTATAATAATAACATTATGGCAACTGCACATGCTTTCAGCAATCTCATGGTTAAAGACTCATGGTTAAGGGAGAGAAGAATAAGAATCATAGATTAGTTCTTGGAAGAAGACAAAATCTTGCCGGGGCATAGCCTGAAATGGGCAGATGAAGGCACAGAGTGGACAGTATTGACTTATTGCATGTCCAACTATTCATATCCAGTATATCCTGGTGTGACTATCTTCACGGGGACATTGGCCACCTGTCACTTACTCTTTGTGGTGAAATGAGACTGATCCAGCTTTCTAGCTGCAGGTGTGCTCATATGTCCCAGAAGGACCAATTAATGCAATCCATCACCTTGACTACATCGATCAATTTAGGAATGGACATGTAAACCAATCAAGCAATGTTGAGTCTGCCTTATGAGTTTTGTTGCAACTGTTGCAAGTGTTAGTGCTAGTGCACTATTTCTGCCTAGAGATGCTGGTGCATAGCTTCCCAGCACATGAAGAGAACCAACCTGAGAGTGAAGTCTACACAGTGGAAAGTGGCACCTAGACATGGAGAAAGACGGATTCCCAGTACCATTATTTGAGCATTTGGATCTACTCATGCTTGAACACAACCCTAGTGTTTTCAGTTACATGAGGCAATCAATAATCAACAAGAGTTCTTAACAGACTTGGGAAGCAATGAGTAGCTGGGAAGGAAGGATGAGTGTTGCACTTCTAGAGAAGAATTTGCTCCTTTAATTCATCAGTATTTCCTCCTTTGTTCATGGAAAATGGGATTATACTCTTCCCATTTGGGAAAAAAATTGAATAGAAGCTTTCCAGTTTCCCTTGATTACTTTCTCTTCTGTAAAAGAAAGCACAGCAAAAATCTGATATTGTGTGACCCATTTGTCAAGATTTACTAAAAGACAAGTTGTTCAGACTCAAAGACAAACATCCATTTCTGTTTTCTTGTTGAACCCCCTGCTCTCAGGAGCAGTGAGTGCCCAGCATTACCAGAGACTCCCACATTTTAGATGTTACCATGTGCTTGCCCGGCCATCTTATTGTGCCCATGCCAACTTTCTGGTTTTCATAATGTACTGTAGTTCTATTACTAATGGGAAAGCTGCTTGATGGGTATGTGGGAACTCTGTACTACTTTTTTGCAACTCTAAAACTCTTTCCCAAACAATTATTATTTTTTTAAAGAAAATGTCTTGGTCAGGACTTCAGATGAGATAGGACAGGTCTCAGGGTGGGTGGTGCTGGAGCCACACACACTTTCTGAGGGAGATGTTGTCATTGATGGTTTCCTGCCTTGGTTGGGAGAAGGAAACTGTACAATAGGCAGTGGAGAACAAAAGTGTCAGGGTAAAACCTCTATCCACACAACCTGGAGACAAAGTCGGCAGGAAAGACCCGCAATGGCCCAATTCCTCTTCTTCCTTTGAACTGTAAAACTGAAGATGGGATCTTGGTCTGAGTGGAAGGGACACTATGCTCAGAGAATTCCTGCCCCTGCTTTGCCTTGGTGAGTCTCCAGGACTGGGACAGACGGATTTTGATGGTGAGAAAATTCATGGTGAAGCGGGGGTTGATGTGAAGTGATATCTTCTGTGCACTGGACACATGCCAGCTGTCAGAGTTCCATGGGCTGTGGTTGACATGCCTCTGTTTTGGTGCTTGCACACAGGAGATGGGGAAGTGAGGTTCAGAGATGTGGGCTGATACCCTCACTTACTCAGCTGAGCAATGCAGAGCTCCCATGAGGTCTCCAAACCTGATTTGTCCAAATACCAATCCTCCCAGGAATGTTTGTTGGCATATAGGAGGGCAGAATACATAGGGTGTGGAGCTGTGGGTTTGGGTACAGACCAAGATTACAGAGAAGGGCTATGTCTGGGGACAATGGATGAAAAGAAAATTTTCTGACCAGCTCTACCCTCTACTGATTTTAACTGTCCTCAACTTGAACATGATGTAATCAAAGGGACCTCAGCCTGTAAAAAGGAAGACCTGGGATTACAACCTTGGCTTGGTCTCATAGGAGCTCTAGGCTGTGAACAAGCAGCTCCACTGACCAAGCCCCCAGTTCCTCTTTCGTGAGGTGGGGCTGAGGGGTGTGTGTAGAGGATATCAGGACTTGTCATCTGCCCCAGTTCCTTCCTTCCTCTTCCGAGATACAGCCCTTCCTTTGGGGTAATGCTCCTCCCACACACACATTTGAGCTTTAGGGGTGGCTGTCAGTCACTATACCCCAAACCTCCAGCTGTAGGGCAGAATAAGTTGGACAGTCGAGAGACTGACCTCATCCTGCTTGTATTCATTTCCCGGGGCTGCCGTGACAAAGTGCTACACACCAAGTGGCTTAAAACAACAGAAAACTATTCTCTCACCGTTCTGGAGGCCAGAAGTCCAAGATCAAGGTGCCAGCAGAGTTGGTTCCTTCTGAGGGCTCTGAGGCTCCCAGGGAGAATCTGTTCCAGGCTCTCCTCACTTCTGGGGATGGCAGGCAGTCCTTGGGTTCCTTATTTGCAGATGCTTTGCTGCAATCCCTCATGTCTTCACATGGCCATCTTCCCTCTGTGTCTGTCTCCATAGCTCTCCACCTCTTCTTATGGGGACACCAGTAATACTGAATTATGGGACCAGCCTACTCCCAAATAATGCAATTCCAAGTAAGTTCACATTCACAGGTACTGGGGGTTAGGACTTGAACACACCTTTCTGGAGGACACAAATAATCATTATTCCACGGATAGGTCTAGGATGCAAAGCAAGCCAGTCCAGTTCTGTCAGGAAGTTTCTCAAACTGGCATTGAGACACAGATAAATTTTGGTCCTCTGAGTGTGACCTTCCAAAGATGCCAGACCGTAGCTGCCTACAGCCCTGCTTCCAGGCTCCTGGTCCTGTCCTGATAATATTTGGAGGGAATGACACACGGCAGCTGAGAGAAAAGCCTGCAACAGCACTGAATCCCTGGGTCAGGCTGCTCTGGAAACATGATCTACCATTGCACTTAATGGAGGTTGCTTGTCTAAACTAACACAACTAGTCATTTCCACTTCATCTGATTTCAGGCAGACTTCTGATATTTGAATCTTTATACATCTTTGGTACAGAGGGTAAGTGTACCCAACTTACATAAAATTTTAAAAATGTATTGAGATACAATGCACATGAGAGTAACCATTTTAAAGTAGACAATCTCGTGACATTTTAAACATTCACAATGCTGTGTAACCACAACAAAATGTTTTCATCACATCACCCGTCAAGGAAATGCTGTACCCACAAAGCAGTCACTTGCCATCCCCCTTCCCTGGGGGGGGTAACCACCCATCCACTTTCTGTCTCTCTAGATGTAGCTATTCTGGATATATCATGTAAATGGAATCATACCATGTGACCTTTCATGTCTGGCTTCTTTCTCTTGGAATGATGTTTTCAAGGAAATGCTGTACCCACAAAGCAGTCACTCGCCATCCCCCTTCCCTGGAGGGGTAACCACCCATCCACTTTCTGTCTCTCTAGATGTAGCTATTCTGGATATATCATGTAAATGGAATCATACCATGTGACCTTTCATGTCTGGCTTCTTTCTCTTGGAATGATGTTTTTAAGGTCCATCCATGATATATCACTGCAACATTTCTTTCTATAATAGAATAGGATAGTATTTTATATTACAATCTGAATAATGTTTTACATAAAAATTTTAAGCTTTCCAGATGATGAGTTCAAGGGATCTGTTAAATTATAATTTAACAGTAATCTGGAGATCCAATTCTGGCCCCCAGTTCCAATGTGTGAGGGTGGGGCCCTGACACCACCAAGCAATTCTTGAACACCAGTTGGGTGTTCTATAATTTAATTCAGTTCTGACACTACCTGGAGTTAGCATCAGATCCTGTAGGTAAGGGCTCCATCCCATAAAACTGCCTCCTCCCCATTTTAGATGTCAATGGCAAGTCTGGGTTATCACCTGATCAATTGGCTATATATCAGGAGTTCCCATGACCCCCTCTTTGGGTTCAATTAATTCACTAGAGAGGCTCCCAGAACTCACAGGAATATTTAACTTACTGGATTATGAGTGTATTATAAAAGGATATAATTGCACAGCCAGATGGAAGAAATATGGAGGGCTAGGTATGGGGAAAGAGCACAGAGCTTCCACGTCCTCTCCAGGCACACCACTCTCCCTGCACCTCCATCTGGTTCATCAACCTGGAAGCTCTCTGAACCCATCCTTTTGAGCTTTTATAGAGTCTTCATTACATAACACAATTGATTAAATCATGGCCATTGGCGATTGATTCCATCTCCAACTCCTCTCTCCTTCCCAGAGGTCAAGGAGGTGGAATTGAATGTTCCATCCTTGTCATCATATGGTTGGTTCCCCTGGCAACCAGCCCTCATCCTTAGGTGTGGTCCAAAAGTCACTTCATTAACAAAATGAAAGACACTTGTATAGAAAATTCCAAGGGTGGGTGTCTGGGTGATTCACTTAGAAGAGCATGGGTCTCTTGATCTCGGGGTCATGAGTTCGAGCCCCACGTTGGGTATATAATTTTAGATTACTAAAATAGATAAATAAATAAATAAATAAATAGACTTTAAAAAACATGGTTAAGAAAATTCCAAGTGTTTAGCAGCTGTGTCCCAGGAACCAGGACAAAGACCAAATGTGTACTTATCATAAATCACAGTATCACATTAGTTTTTAGGGAGCTGTGGTTTCTAGTGTTCCCACTCCTTCCTATCTCAGTGGAAGGTGTAGCACCTAACGAGGCTGGATGTTGTTCAGAGCAGGTAGCTGTAGGGTAGATGACAGCTGTCTGCCAAGGACCTGCCAAAGAATATAAGCATGTCAGTGGTCAGTGTCTGTAAAGAGTCAGCCAAAAGACAGACACTTAATAATTGATGGGTTTTTATTGTACTTCTTTACTGAGAAATATGCTTTTTTCAAGTTATCCTGCATTCCCCTCAATGATGGTTTCCTCTGTGTGGCCAGTCTTCCTTGTCTACATCCACTGTGGTCCCTTGTTAGAAAAGAGGGGCAAGTTCTAAGGGATCAAATGCACAGCATGGAGACTGTAGCTGATAATTCTGTGTTCTCAACACAGACACACATGAACGCACACACAAAGGGTAATTCTATGAGCTGATGGATGTGTTAACTGGCTTGATTGTGGTAATCATTCTATATATGTGTATATATATCATCATGTTGTGTAACTTAAGTATATACAGTTTTATTTGTCCAAGAAAGAGAACCTCTCCCTCACTTTTACACCCTATTCTCCAGTAGGGTTTCACAAGGCAAAATGAACTAAAGGCACCTGTGTGCTTACTTAAAAAAAAGAGGGGGGAATCACTGTTTGAGCAGAATATTGGCTGATACCAGAGCTGAGACAACATGAGTCTAAAAGCAGGTTTGTGGGGGAGGGGGGACTAAAAAGAGACCAGGAGACCTAGGACCCCCTGACCACCCAGATGATGATTTCTACCTACAAATCCCAGCCACTGTCACTGCAAGTTTGGCCTCAGTGCACTGTCAGACCCCTACCTCCTTTCTTCTTGGTGAAACTTGGGGGGTCGATGTTGTGAGCTGACCCCTGAGTTTAAACAAGGGCCAGGTGTTCTGAGACATTCTCGCACCTAGAGAAATTCTAGCTTCACGTCTTGACAGACCCCAAGACTGGTTTCCCATATTTCCATCGAAGGGATGACCTTCCTATCCCAGAATGAAATACATCGAATGGAACAAAGGAGAGGTAGGGCCTGATGTTTGTAAAGATCAAACCACATGTGGGAAGAGCATTTAGGACCATGAATGTCTTGAACTCCTCGTGAAAAGAAGAACCTGATCAGAGAGAGCGACTTCTGTCTGTTTGAATCAGGGAGGAAACCCTCCGCTCTCACTCCACAGTGAAATAACCATTGTGTTATTTAAGTGGCAAGGGTGAAAAGTGCAGTCATAAAAAGCAGGAGAGGAAGATATAGGTAAACGTGCAATGATGTCTAGATGGTGAAAGAAAGCCTGATCATGAAAGCAACATGATAATCAGAAAAGGTTGCTGGAATTTTGTACATAATCATAACTCCTGAATGAGAGACAACGGGACATAAGTAAAAGGTAAAAAATCAATCCAAGGAAGTGCCTTAAAGAAATAGAATGGATCTTCCATCAAAATCCTTGAGGAGAACACAGGCAGCAACCTCTTTGACTTCAGCTGCATCAACTTCTTCCTAGAAACATCGCCAAAGGCAAGGGAAGCAAGGGCAAAAATGAACTATTGGGACTACATCAAGATAAAAAGTTTTGCACAGCAAAGGAAACAGTCCACAAAACCAAAAGACAACCGACAGAATGGGAGAAGATATTTGCAAATGACATATCAGATAAAGGGCTAGTATCCAAAATCTATAAAGAACTTATCAAACTCAACACCCAAAGAACAAATAATCCAGTCAAGAAATGGGCAGAAGACATGAACAGACATTTCTACAAAGAAGACATCCAAATGACCAACAGACACATGAAAAAGTGCTCAACATCGCTCAGCATCAGGGAAATACAAATCAAAACCACAATGAGATATCACCTCACACCAGTCAGAATGGCTAAAATTAACAAGTCAGGAAATGACAGATGTTGGTGAGGATGTGGAGAAAGGGGAATCCTCCTACACTGTTGGTGGGAATGCAGACTGGTGCAGCCACTCTGGAAAATGGTATGGAGGCTCCTCAAAAAGTTGAAAATAGAGCTACCCTATGACCCAGCAATTGCACTACTGGGTATTTACCCCAAAGATACAAATGTAGGGATCCGAAGGGGCACCTGCACCCCAATGTTTATAGCAGCAGTGTCTACAATAGCCAAACTGTGGAAAGAGCCTAGATGTCCATCAACAGATGAATGGATAAAGAAGATGTGGTATATATATGCAATGGAATATTATGCAGCCATCAAAAAATGAAATCTTGCCATTTGCAACGATGTGGATGGAACTAGAGGGTATTATGCTAAGCGAAATAAGTCAATCAGAGAAAGGCAATTATCATATGACCTCACTGATATGAGGAATTTGAGAAACAAGACAGAGGATCATAGGGGAAGGGAGGGAAAAATGAAACAAGATGAAAACAGAGAGGGCGACAAACAATAAGAGACTCTTAATCTCAGGAAACAAACTGAGGGTTGCTGGAGTGGAGGGGGGTGGGAGGGATGGGGTGGTTGGGTGATGGACATTGGGGAGGGTATGTACTATGGTGAGTGCTGTGAATTGTGTAAGACTGATGAGTCACAGACCTGTACCCCTGAAACAAATAATACATAATATGTTAATAAAAAAGAAATAGAATGGATCTTTAACAAATTAATCATGCATTCTCTGCCTGATATGTAGTCAAACATGAATATATAATCCATGTCTCAGGAGGGTTTCTCTTCCAGGGCTTAGCCTGGGCTTTGAAGACAAGAAAAAGAATGGTGAGTTTTCCTGCATAAATTCTCTGTTCCTGCAACCCAAATTTTCTCTTTAATCCTCTGAATTCTGGGAGGGCACCGGTGGTCATCATGATGAAGAGTCAGACTAACTCTGAATTCTTTCCAGAGATGCTTCCCAAACCCTCCCTCAGTGCCTTGTCCAGCTTAGTGGTTGGACACAGAGGTAACGTGACCCTGAGGTGCCAGTCTCACTTCCAGAATGTGACATTCATGCTGAGGAAGCTGCAGGACTCCGGGTACAGGCAGGAGCAGAGATCCACAGAACACAAGGCTGAATTCCTCCTCACTCACCTGGAACCGAAGGATGCTGGGATGTACTTTGGTGCCTACAAGACAATGATCTCCGAGGAGTGGTCAGGGGAGAGTGAATACCTGGAGCTGAAGGTCAAAGGTGAGAAAGACAACTTCAGGCTTGCTCTTGAGGCACATATTCCTTTTCCTGTGATGGAACCTCGCTGGGGAAGGAAAAGTCCAGGAAACAGACAGATGTGACCACTTGAGTGTAAAGTATAGGGGAAATGGGAAGTGGGTATGGGGACAGGCTCTCATCAGAGATTCTGAGTGTGTATCAATGAGGTGGATGTGGGACAGTGTTTTCGAATATAGGTATTAGGGGCTCCTGGGTGGCTCAGTTGGTTAGGCGTCTGCCTTCAGCTCAGGTTGTGGTCCCGGGTTCCTGGCATCAAGCCCCGCATTGGGCTACCTGCTCAGTGGGGAGCCCGCTTCTCCCTCATCTGCTTCTCACCCTGCTTGTACTCTCTGTGTGTGTGTCAAATAGATAAATAAAAGTTAAAAAAAAAAATAACATAGGTATTAATAGAAAATTTGAAGTAGAGTATGGCCAAAGATGAAGAGATGATTGTCATTGAGAAAAAGATATTTTGGGGACACCTGGGTGGCTCAGTTGGTTAAGTGTCTGCCTTTGGCTCAGGTCATGATCCCAGGGAGCCTGCTTCTCCCTCTCCCTCTGCCCCACCCTGCCCCCTGCTGATGCTCTCTCTCAAGCTCTCTCTCTCTCTCTCTCAAATAAATAAATAAATAAATAAATAAAATATTTTAAAAGAGAGAGAGAGAAAGATAGTTTGTTAGAGTTCCCAAGAAGAGGGGTATGTCATGCCATGCAGGACCACATAGAGAAGCACCAGGATCAGTCAGGAAACAGAGGTAGGAATAAGACTGGGCAAGAGCCTTTACCGTGATTTCTGTGGGAAGGAACAGGCTTAGGATTGGCTCTGGGGTACAGAGGCTGTCCCTGATTGTCTGGTATCTGGCCCTGGAATGATCAGGGCAGGGGAATAGTGACTCAGAGCGTGAGAGCCATAGAAGAGGTGGTTGGGAGTGTGAGCTCTGGATTGGTGGGTTTGCACTTGAGAGGCACCCTTGGGGAAGTGGATACCCTTGGGGGGGGGGCGGGAATCTCTCCAGGGTCAGCAAGGTCCCAAGATACCAAAGGGTCAAATTCAGAACATAAAAGATGTGGTTAATAGAGAGATGGGTAAGAATGTCCCCAGGTGCATTGGAAAAGGGGAATCGCTGGTCCTTTCCTTCACCCCTGTTGCTCTGTCCTCTTCAGGATCAGTCCTAAAACCTTCCCTCTTACTCAACATAGACCCGGAGATGACTCCAGGTCACAGTATGAGACTCTGATGTCTGATTGCATACAACAGACCCAATTGTATTGTTATTGTTCTGCTGAAAACAGGAATGCCAGAGCCACTACAAGTTGAGAAAATAAGAAAAATCCAAACTATCAGGACAGCGTAAGGCATCCCTCATTTTTTTTAATTAATAACATTTAATTTTTTTATTATGTTATGTTAATCACCATACATCACATCATTAGTTCCATGATTGATTATTTGCGTATAACACCCAGTGCTCCATTCAGTACATGCCCTCTTTAATACTCATCACCAGGCTAACCCATCCCCCCACCCCTCATCCCTCATTTTTGACCCCCCACTTCAACAACAGAAGTTTGGCATCCAGGGTGCCTGGGTGGCTCAGGTGTTAAGTCTGCCTTCGGCTCAGGTCACGATCTCAGGGTCCTGGGATCAAGCCCTGCATCTGGCTCCCTGCTCAATGGGAAGCCTGCTTCTCCCTCTCCCACTCTCCCTGCTTATGTTCCCTCTCTCGCTGTGTCTCTCTCTGTCAAATAAATAAATAAAATCCTTAAAAAAAAAAAAAAGAAGAAGAAGTTTGGCATCCATCCACAAACAAAAGTGCCTTTGTGGGAGTTGTGGGATCTGGCACCATACAGCAAGGGACCCGAGAGGAGTCTCACCCACCTGAGTAATAGGCAGACAGACCTCAGTGCCAGCTGTGGAACCTGCAGGAGACTGTAAATTAGTTCCAGGCCCTGTTGGCCATGGCCTAGAAGCACCTGGAGACTTGGGCAATCACCCATGGATAAGAGAATCTTTGTAGAGGTCTATAAACCAAGACTGAATCATGAAGAAATAGAAAATCTAAACAGATCAATAACAGATAAGGAGATTGCCTCAATAATCAAAAACCTCCCAATGAAGAAAAGCCCACATCCAGATGGCTTCACTGGTGCTTTCTACCAGGCATTTAAAGAAGAAATAATGCCAACCCTTCTCAAACTCTTACCAAAAATGGAAGACGTGGGGGTGCCTGGCTGGCTCAGTCGGTAGATCATGTGACTCTTGATCTCAGGGTGATGAATTCAAGCCCCATACTGGGTGTGGAGCCTACTTAAAAAAAGAACTGAAGAAGAGGGAACATTCCTACACTCATTTCATGAGGCCAGCATTATCCTGATACCAAAGCCAGATAGTGACACTAGGAGAAACCTTCAGAGCAATATCCCTGATGAGCACAGATGCAAAAATTCTCAACAAAACATCAGCAACCAAATTCAACAGCACATTACGAAGATCATATGCTATGGTTAAGTGGGATTTATCCTTGGGGTGCAAGGATGGTTCAACCTACACAATCAATGTCATTGACCACATTAATGAATAAAGGACAAAAATCATATGATCATCTCAGTAGATGCAGAAAAAGCACTTGACAAAATACAACATCCTTTCAAGATCAAATACTCTCCATAAATCAGGTGTAGAAGGAATGCAACTCAACATAACAGTGCATACACAACAAGTCCACAGCTAGCATTGTACTCAAAGGCAAAAGGTCAAAATCTTTCCTCTGAGATCAGAAACAAGACAAGGATGTCCACTCTTACCACTCCTATTCAACATAGTACGGAGGTCCTAGCCAGAGCAATCAAGCAAGACAAGGAAATAGAAGGCATCCAAACTGGAAAGGAAGAAGTAAAACTGTCTTTATTTGCAGATGATATAATCTTATATATGGAAAATCCTCAAGACTCAGCCAAAACCCTGCTAGATCCTGAATAGCCAAAGCAATACTGAGAAAGAAGAATAAAGCTGGGTATATCATACACCCTTTTTTCAAACTATACTACAAAGTTTTGTAATCTAAATGGTGTGGCACTGGCATAAAAATAGACACATAGATCAATGGAACAGAATCAAGAGCCCAGAATTAAACCCTCACATATACAATCAACTAACATTTGGCAGGAGAGCCAAAAGTACTCAATGGGGAGAGGACAGTCTCTTCACTAAATGATGTTGGAAAACTGGATAAACACATGCAGAAGAATGAAATTGGACCCTCATCTTACACCACTCACAAAAATTAACTCAAAATGTATTAAAGACTTAAACATAGGACCCCAAGGCATAAGACACCAAGAAGAAAATGGGAAAAGCTCCTTTGCATGATCTTGGCAATGATTTTTTTTTATATGACACATAAAGCACAAGAAACAAATGCAAAAATAAATAAGTGGGATTGCATCAAGCAAAAAGCTTTTCTGCACAGCAAAAGAAATAGCAAGATGAGAAGACAACTTACCAAAGGGAGAAAATATTTGCAAAGGGGTGGTGCTCTTTCCTGGGATAGGGAAGACTGGTAAGGAATAGGATTGGAAGGGGAGAAATCAGTGGGATAATTTATAAATGTTTTTGTTATTGAAAATAATATCAAACTCCAGGAGTATTAAAAAGAGCCCCTGGGGGTGCCTAGGTGGCTCAGTCGTTGAGCATCTGACTCTTGATTTTGGCTCAGGTCATGATCTCAGGGTCGTGAGATTGAGCCCTGTGTCAGGCTCTGTGCTCAGCATGGAGTCTGCTTGAGATTCCCTCTGCCTCTCCCCGCCCCTCAAATAAATAAATAAATAAATAAAATCTTAAGAAAAAAAAAGAGCCATCTAATGTTCTGGCCCTGGTTTGGGGACCCAGTGAGCATCCCAAGAGTGGAAAAGGCATTGTCTGCTTCCCAAAGAGGGCTTAGAGTCCATAAGCAGAATATGAGGACCTAGGTCCCCAAGGTTTCCACTCAGTCATTGTGACTTTTTTCCTCCTGCATCCTGTTTTCTAGATGACCACAATGGACGTGGAGCTACTGGAGTAAAAAATGGTAAGATAATTTGAGAGATGTTTTTCCAAATTATATCCACCTCATGAGGCAGGCATTCCCCTTTGAATAAAAGGCACAGAAGAAGAATCGTGATGCCTGCTTTCTCACTGTGATTGGGAGAATGACTGCCTTTCTGGGAAGATGTCCCCAAGCTCCTTAAGGGTTAAGGAAAAGCTGATGAGTAAAACAGCTAGAGGTGGGTTGCTTGTCATTTTACATAACAAAAAACGATGGCGGAGTTTTGTGAAGAATGGGAATGAGCTTGTGTGTCTGGTTTGGGCAACAGGATGGGGACCCGTGGAGCCCAGGTGCTTTGGGAATGTGTGTGATCAAGGATTTGCTAAAACTTTAAAGTTCTCAAAAACAGGTGAATATTAAGATATTTTTCTCTGATGTTGCTTTTCCATGAGGAATTGACTAAGAGTCTATCCTTGGAGATGCTTGTAAAAGTTAGAGCTTTTGGCATCTTTGGATGAAAATAGGAGCTCATCCAGATTTTAATGGCCAAATATATAACGTAAGTTGGCATCTAGTTGCTTACTCATCCTTAATTTCTGCAACTCATAACCTCCCTGTAATCTACTCCAAAGAGCCAAAATTGTTCAAGGCTGTCATTAGAATCTATGCTGGAATAACCAGTTTTTTTTTTTTAAAGGTATCTCCCAAAATGTCCTCGCAAAATAAGTAATAGCCTTTGAAAATGTTTTTATTCAGTATTAGCAGACTTGGGAAATGATGTCTACTCCAGCTTTATGAACATAATTCATAACAGGAATGTTTTCTGGGAGAGATCTGAAATCTGATAGGGTCAAGGATCATGGAAGTATCAGAAATAAGGCAGGAAGCCTAGTGATGGGCAAGAGGGTAGAAAGAGAAGTGTTCATGTTTTTAGCTCTTGCATTACTTATTTTCTTTCTTTTTTATTGATTCATAATTCACATTCCATAAATCCACCCTTTTAAAGCACACGGTTCAGTGGCATTTGGTATATTCACAAGACTGTGCAACCATCACCACTCTATAATTCCAGAACATTCTCAGACCCCAAAGGAAATGTCCTACCCTGTAAGCAGTCTCTCCCCATTCCAGTCCCCATGATGGACACTGGGTTGTTCATACCCTTCGGGTATCACAACTAATGCTGCCCGGAGCATTGGTGGGCAAGTACCTGTTTGAGTCCCTGCTTCCAGTGTTCTTGGATATCCACCTAGGAGTAGAATTGCTGGGACATATGGTAACTCTATGTTTAACTTTTTGAGAAACTGCCAAATTGTTTTCCAATGTGGCCGCACCAATTTACATTCCCACCAGTAATACGTGTGGGTTCCAATATCTCCACGTCCTTGCCAACACTTATTTTCCTTTTATTTTATTATAGACATCCTAGTGGGTGTGTAGATCGTTTCTTGAGATGTACTTTCTGAGTTCAAATTTATACCGCAGCAATTCTAAATGGAATATAAAGTCTTTAAGCGCAGATATGATGCCCCCAGCCTGTACATACGGTTGCATAGGTGCACACAAGGCCAGGCTTCCTCTCTGCTGCCTGTGACCTCATTTACACCCCGTGGCAAGCTGTATCCCACTACTCAGTGTGATTCCTTCACACTGACACCAGAGACTCCTTGTAATTTATTCTGGCAGTTTGTAAAGAGTGATGTGAAATTTGGCCTAGGAAATGTGGACATCTCAGGGTGAACTCAGATTGGCGGGTTGTGGCACCATAGGAAGGGGAAAGTCTTACGAGAGTTTACTTCTCATTTCTAGTGAGTTGTTGTGTGAGAGAAGCCGTAGGCTAGATGAAGTGTAAGGCAGGGCTGATGTTCCTCTTCTTCCATCCGGGCCCCGCTAGTCCGGAAACACCTGTTTCCACCCTGTTTTCTTATGTCCTTGGAGATGCGCTGATAGTTTGCTGCTTTTGAGGGTCTCTTGGATTCAGTGCCACCAACAGACTCAAATAAGTATTAATGTCAAAATGACATTGTAGGAGGTGCAGGGGGAGGAGGACTGAGCAAGAGTAGGGTACTCACGTCCCCCCGCGGTGTCTTTTGCTCAGTGCTGGGCCAGGCATTCATGCTCCCGCAAACGGCAGTCACAGTAAAGAGGTATCCCTGGGATACATAGATCCCAAGGCATTTGGGGTCCTTCCTGGCAGTCCCCCGACAAAGAGATGCAAATGTTCACATCGGAAAGTGAAAGAAACCATGATCCAGAGTGCATAAAAATGGCAAAGGGATCTGTGGGAGCAGGGGTGGAGGAGACCTGGCATCATCTGTTACAGAGGGAGACGGATGTGGGTGGGTTATCGGGGGAGAAAATAATCATTATCGCTGCAATCTCATTATCCTACACAATGAGTCAAATTCTAGACCTTGAAGCACTTTGAAGCCAGCGCTTTCCATCATTACTCAAGCTCTTCAAGTTCGGTGTTTTCATCCCGCCCCTCTCCTCCTTACTCCGCCTTCTTGAGGTATAACTGACAAAAGTGTACAACGTGATCGTTTCATATACGTGTCCACTTGTGGAAGGATCGAGTTAATGAACGCATCCTCCCCTCACATATTTATCTTTGGCTTTTGTGTGAGAATGCTTAAGATCTACTCTTAGCAAATTTCAGTTATGCACTTGTCAACTATTGTCACCACGCTCTACGTTGGATCTCCAGAACGTATTCATCTGTTCACTGAAAGCTGGTAGCGTTTTGCCAGCCTCTCCCCACCTCCCCAGCCCTTTCAACCCTGGCAGCCACCACTCTACTCTCCCAGGAATGTTTTCTGGGAGAGATCTGAAATCTGATAGGGTCAAGGATCATGGAAGTATCAGAAATAAGGCGGGAAGCCTAGTGATGGGCAAGAGGGTAGAGAGAAAGAGAAGTGTTCATGGTTTTTTTTTTAATAATTTTTTTACTGTTATGTTAACCACCATACATTACATTAGTTTTTGATGCAGTGTTCCATGATTCAGAAGTGTTCATGTTTTTAGCTCTTGCATTACTTATTTTCTTTCTTTTTTATTGATTCATAATTCACATTCCATAAATCTATGAGTTCAATTAAAAATTTTTTGTTTGTTTGTTTTAGATTCCATGCATCGGTGGAATCTAACCATGTAGTATTTGTCTTTGTCTGGCTCATCTCATTTGGCATAATGCCCTCCAGGTCCATCTGCGTTGTCGCAGATGGCAGGATTTTCTACCTTTTTATGGCTGAATAATATCCCAGTATATATACCATTTAAACAACTCTTGTACTGGGAGAGAGTTTGGATTTTCGTTCATCTGAGATGGGACTTATTGTTCCCTCTGCAACATCACAGTTATCTGGGTAAATGTGCATTTCCCCAGGTTGTGAGGTCACTTCTCTGGTGTTTCCACACCCAGAGGCCAGCACGAAGTGGCCCTGACCTGTGGCCGACTGGCCTAAAAGGTTACACATACCAGGATGCGAAGCCCATCCTGACTGTGTGACTTTGAGCAATTCCCTTAACTTCTGGATACTTTGTTCCCATTGGAATGAAATGGGAACAGTAAAGCTATCTTGTATGCTTCTTTTTTTTTTAATTTAATGTTATATTATTTAAATTCAATTAATTAACATATAATGTATTATTGGTTTCAGAGGTAGAGGTCAGTGATTCATCAGTCTTATATAATACCCAGTGCTCGTTATATCACATGCCCTCCTAAATGCCGATCACCCAGTTACCCCGTCCCTCCCACTGCTCCCTCCAGCAATTGTCAGTTTGTTTCCTATGATTAAGAGTCTCTTATGGTTTGTCTCCCTCTCTGACTTCATCTTGTTTTATTTTCCTTCCCTTCCCCTATGATCCTCTGTTTGGTTTCTTAAGTTCCACATATGAGTGAAACCATATGATAATTGTCTTTCTCTGACTGACTTATTTTGCTTAGCATGATACCCTCTAGTTCCATCCACATCATTGCAAATGGCAAGATTTCATTTTTTGATGGGTAAGTAATATTCCATTGTGTATATACACCACATCTTCTTTATCCATTCATCTGTTAATGGACATCTGGGCTCTTTCCAGAGTTTGGCTATTGTGGACATGGCTGCTATAAACATTGGGGTGCAGGTGCCCCTTCTTTTCCCTACATCTGTAACTTTGGGGTAAATACCTAGCAGTGCAATTGCTGGGTCATAAGGTAGCTCTGTTTTTAACATCTTGAGGAACCGCCATACTGTTTTCCAGAGTGGCCGTACCAGCTTGCATTCCCACCATCTCATGTGCTTCTTGTCAAGATGAGAAGAACACATGTGAAGCGCCTAGCACAGAGAGGCTCACGACAAATAATCAGAATTATTGATATGGCTGAAACGTTTATTGGAGATTTCCCTTGTGTGAGGCCCTCTCTGCGAGAGCCCACCCAGTTAACACCCTGCCATCCAGTCCAGCAGCTACTGTTCTTATCCTCACTTTGAATGGGAAAATGGAGAGTCAGGGGAGATTAAGGAAATTCCCATAGTAATCGGAAGTTCCAGCTCAGAAGTGGTAGCTGCAAGTTTTGGAAGCCAGATTGTCTGGCTCCTCACACCTGTTGGACTAAACTTGATCAGGGTGTCTCAGGAGCTAAACTGATTCTCCGACCTGCTCCTCTCCCACCAGCCAATGGATTAATCTTCGCTGCCACCTTCAGCTGCCTTTCCATTTTGATTCTCTTCCTCTCTTGTCTTCTTCATCAACAGATGTACCCAGCATGGTGAGTTCAGGGAAGCACTGGTTTGTTTGTTTGCTTGCTTGCTTGTTTAATAAGTAGGCTCCATGCCCAGCATGGAGCCCAGTTCGGGGCTTGAAATCACGACCCTGAGATCAAAGACCTGAGTTGAGATCAAGAGTCGGGCGTTTAAGCGACTGAGCCACTCAGGCACCCCAGGGAAGCACCAGTTTTATACACTAGGGAAGGGGAATGAAGTGAAGGATTTTCTCATTATATAAATTCCTCCTTGTATTTTTTTGTTTTGTAGGCTCGTCACATGAAGAGTCCACCAAGAGGTAGATATACTTGACAAATCTTGCGCCCCTCTCTTCTTCACATACCCTGTTTGTAGGTCTGTGATTCCCATGCCTCTTCTAATGCCCCATTTTCTCCCTCAGTCTCCAGATCCCATACTTTAATGTGTTTTTGTCTCTCAGAACCAGCCATTCCGAATTTCCCAAGCAGGAGGCTACAGGTGAGTGGTAAGGGAAGAAACCATAAGAGAATCGTGGGATGGAAAGAATAAGTCTCACTCCTGCAATCTGAGAGCTGATTTTTTTTTTCCTTTCACTCACATGCAGATTTATCCAACCTGGAAAGGATATCTGTCTCGGTGAGTTCTCCCCACGAGGTCACTTCCCACCATAGGCTGACCCTGTCTGCCTCCTGGTTTAGCCCATACTCTAGTTACTCGGGTGCCCCCAGCTCACATGATTGACAAGAGGCCAATTAACATTGTGTTTAAAAACATGTGCTTTGACCAAACTAAAAAAAACAGAGAGTAGAATGGTGGTTACCAGGGGTGGGAGAACTGGGGAGATGTTGGCCAAAGGGTACAGACTTGCAACTAGCAGATAAGTAAGTCGTGGAGATGTAAGGCACAGCATCATGATTATAGTTCACAACATTGTATTATAAACCTCACAGTTGCTAAGAGACTAGATCTTAATTGTTCTCACTGCAAAAAAAAAATGATAATTATGTGGCAGGATGGAGGTTTAGCTAACACTACGGGGGTGATCGTGTTGCAATATATGAATGTATCAAATCAACACGTATGGTACCCCTTAACCTCATACGGTGTTATATGTCAATTATATCTCAATAATTCAACAAAGAAACACATGCTTTGTATTCCAGAGTAGCTGGGTTCCAACTCCCCATGGCTACTATTTGTTGCCAGTATGGTCTAAGACAACTCACGAAACCCCTGTGATTTGGACCCTTCATTCCCTCCCTTATCTACGGGGGATCAAAATCCCCCATGACAGGCCTGTGTAATCCAGTGATGCACTAAACATAAAGGGTTTGCTGGAATTTCTGGCAAATTTTAAATGTCAGATGGATGGCATGAAAGCATCAATTAACAAATGTTAATCAATGTACATCAATCAGTTTTTTCTATTTAAAATACTGCTTACTTGTGATTTAACATTAATTACCATTACCTCTAAAAGCAATTATCAGGTGATATTTATACATTTTCCCATAGGACACAGAGGCTTATTGGTTCATTCTTTATGCCAAAGCAAGTAAAAAGAGGCATTAACAAAAGATGCAAATTGTTCACTGTTGTATTTAAAAAATATCTATGCACATGGCATTCATTTAGATACATATATTTTTTTAAAGGTATGGAAAAACACAGTTCACAGGTTCACAAATGAACCATCAATGAACAAATCTAGTCTATTTTAAATGTTGGATAAATGACATTGATTAGCAAGTTGTTGATAATAATAATAATAATAACATAATATTATGATGTGGTACCTCCATACAATGAAATTCTATTCAGCAATTAAAAAAAAAGGAAGAAACTAGTCATAGATCCATGTGGTAAATGGAGGCACTGCAAAATCATTTGCTAAGTTATGAAAAAAGCCAGATACAAGGGACTGTCCATTGTTCCATTTATGTAAAATCTCCAGAAAAAGCAAATCAATAGTCGCCTATGGCTGGAGCTGGGAGAGGAGATAAAACCGCACACAGGCACAAGGGAACTTTTTTGGTGACGAATGTTCTAAAACTTAAGTGTAGCGAAGGCTACATCATTCTACAAATTCACTAAATGTCATCAAATTGCACACCTATATTAGGGGAATTTCACAGTATATAAATCATATCTCAATAAAGTTGTTTTTAAAATAGCGTAATATTACATAACCAGTAGGTATTCTTACAGGATGGTAGTTCTTATTTTCAACACCATATGTTTGCAATGACTGTTCTTAGTACCGGTCATAGTTATTAGTATCGTATTATTAAAACTAGAGTCAAAACCCTCATCCTCCCCGAGACACAGCCATTCCTGGAATGGCGCTGTCCAGTAGGACTTCCCGCAATAATGGACGTGTCCTATGGCTGTACTGTCCAGTACAACAGCCCCTGGCTACACGTGGCTATTGACATGCAAAATGCATCTGGTGTGACTGAGGACCCAAGTTTTAAATTAAATGTAATTTTAATTCACTTAAATGTAAATAGCCATATGTGGCTTGCAGGTACCATACGGGACAGCTAAGCTCTAAATGCCCATCTCTTTCCCCCAAAGACTGAAAGACTGCCGGGGAGTGAGCCATGCTGACCTATACCTGAGGCAGCTTCTGTCCCCAGCTGAGGAGCCCCCAGGATCTTTTGAATGTGCAGTGCGGCAGGTGAAGGAGGACAGCCAGAGCCCTGGAGGAAGGAGAATGTGGGTTAAGATGGTGGGATGACTGGACACATGGAAACCAGGTCATTCCACGTCCTTGGCTCATAAGCCATAGTAATAAAGTTAAGTCTCTGCCTTTTTGCTTCCACACCTCTCAAGAATTACTGGTTGGGTTTTCCCAAAATCTGGAGTGTGACTTTAGTATGGATTGACTTAAAACATGCCCTACGTCTATGGGCTGATGGTACTATAATACCCACTTAGGGGATTCTGGATGGCACCCCATAAATAGAAAGATTTTTCCCCAGAAAAGTCCATTGGTTGCTGTTGGGTGAGGCATCCCATAGACAGAGGGATTTTGAAAAGGAGCACAAGAGGGGCACCTCGGTGGCGCAGTTGGTTGAGCGTCTGACTCTTGTTTTTAGCCCAGCTCATGATCTCAGGGTCGTGGGATCGAGCCCCACTTCTGGCTCCTCGCTCAGTGCAGAGTCTGCTTGAGATTCTCCCTCTCCCTCTTCCTCTGCCCCTCCCCTGCTCATGCTCTCTCTTGCTCTCTCTAAAATAAATTAATTAAATCTTTAAAAAAAAAAGAAAGAAAGAAAGAAAAGAAGCACAAGATACAAGCCACAGAGAGGGACACTTGACTGTGAACTAACAAAAGTGACTCTGAGTGGCATGCACCAGGGTAAGCTGCTAGCTGTGTTTGGTCCATGATCCTTCCAAGCTATGCTGGGCAGCCCTCTAGTCTTAAAGCCAAGACCAGTTTCCTTGTTGACGTGAATGGAAGCATTTTCTCAGTGCCATCATATTTCTGTTCATTTTATTTCTTGAAAATCAAAGGATGCAATGAAGCTAGACTTACCAAATATATGTGGATTTTGTCATTTGGCACCCATAACTTCATTAATTTACGTATTATGTCACTGTAAGGACTTTTCGGAGCATGGACTTTTTTCTGTGACAATGACACAGAATGGCCAGTTACATACAAACATAAATAAATGAGCTCTGCTTCAAAAGTTATGTCACCTGATCAGGATTGAAAGTCATTTTTTAATATATGAATGAATGAAAGTATAAGGATTTAGGATGCAGATATAAATATTCTTAACTCATAAGCATATGCTGGGTAACTTTTCTCTTTTCAGGTTTTTAATTATGAAATAATTTGACCATAAAGGAAAACACCAAATTATATAAATAGAAATATGCACACTGTCCTTACTTTCTAGACATTTTTTGCTGTGCTTCACTTCTACCACTCCTGATCTGTTGTCCTTCCCTCTTCCCCAGAGGTGAAGTTTATCCATGTTATTATATGTTATTCTTATGCATTTTTTTGTATTTTTACTACACAGACATCTATTGATAGTCAATATATGGCAATCTGCTTGAAATTGCCCAACCCTAACCCTAAGTCTATGTGTTATTCACATATACACATATATATGGAATCCTGTTGTATATTATATATAATTCTGTGACTTTTTATTGTCCCCCATATTATGCTGTTGAAAATCATTCAGGTGAATTTTGTGGGTCTAGCTCATTCCCCACAGTATAGAATTCAGCTGCTAGCCATACCATGGAATACTGCTCAGCCCCAAAAGGAATGAAGCACCATGACATGCCACAACATGAATGAACCTTGAAAACATTATGCTCAGTGAAAGAAGCCAGTCACAAAAAGCTACATAAATACTGTAGGATTCCATTTCTTTGAAACACCCAGAATAAGTGAACCTCAGACACAGCAGATTCATGCGTGCCAAGGGGCTGAGGGAAAGGAGAATGAGTATGGGGTTTTTGGGGGGTTTTTTTGCTGGTGACAGAAATGTTGTGGAATTAGAAACTGGTGATGGTTGTGCATCCTTGTGAATACACTTTTTAAAAAAAAAAAAACACTGAATTTGATGCTTTAGAAGCAAAGATTTTATGGTATGTGAATTATATCTCAATAAACCAAATTTGTAAAAAACTGGTTGGATGCACCAACCATGGCTTCTCTTTAATTCTTTCCTCGACGGCTAGATGTTTGGGCTGTTACCGGGGCTATGCTATCAGCAAAATGCTACAACAGACATCCTGTTCACAAGTGTGATCTCTCAGTGGCATATTTAGAAGTAAAACCTGTATTTTGTGATGTCCACATCTTTAATCCCACTAGGAGAGCCAAACTGAGAACTAAGGTAGTTTTCCCTATTTATACTTCCACCAGGGATGAATAAGTTCCCAGTTCCCCACGTCCTTGCCAATTCAGAAATATATTAAACTTGATAATTTTTGCTGATTAAAATAGATGAACTCATAACCCACTTTAAGCTGCCTATATAAAGATATCTCATGGTTGCTTTAATTTGCATTTTCCTGAGTATGAGTGAGGCTTATTGACCATTTGGGGTTTCTTTTCTGTAAATTGATGATTTGTATCCATTGTTCACTTTTCAGCTGAACTGTTGGTCTTTTCCTTTCTGATTTTTACATATATAGCAGGCACACCTTTCTTTTGTAAGCTGTATGCTGCAAACATCTCCATGAAGCCTGTGACACATTTTCATTCCTTCTGTATCTTTTAATGTAAGCTAGTCAAAGTAATTCATCTTTTAATTTATATGTTGAGGGACTTCTCAGTGTCTTGACTAACTTTACATGATGAATACACTCTCCTAATCTTCTAAATTAAAATGTTTTAATTTTGTTTTTCATATGTAATGCATCTGATATTAATTTTTGTCTAAGGTGTGAGGTAGGGATCTAATTTTTCCACTTGGATAACCAACTGCCCTAGTACCCTTTATTGAAAGACCCATTCCTGATGAAATATGCTCACTTCTATTTCATCGGCACTGCCTTCCATTACTAGCGTACTTCAAACTCTTGGATGGAAATGACGAAAGGAGAAACTTGATTTGAAAAGACTTGGAAACAATAAAGAAAAAGGGGGGATGCCTGGCTGGCTCAGCTGATAGACTCTTGGGGTTGTGAGTTCAAGCTCTACCTTGGTTGTATAGATTACATTCATTTTTTTTAAGATTGATTGATTGATTTGAGAGAGAGAGAACTCACATGCACGAGAGAGGGAGAGAGAGACTCTCAAGCAGACTCCCCAGGGAGCACAGACCCTGACACGGGGCTTGATCTCAAGACCCTAAGATCAGGACTTGAGCAGAAACCAAGAGTCAGATGCTTAACCAACTGAGCCGCCCAGGTGCTCCTAGAGATCACATTAAAAAAAAAAAAAAAGGACGGAGGGAGGGAGGGAAAGAAAGAAGAAACTGAGTCATGTAAACTAACTAAGGAAAAGACAGAACTAGAGATATCTCAAACAATTACATCCACAGGCTCAAATATCATTTAGACTTTTCCTCTCTGTATCTCTCAGCCCTGTTTCTATTTCTGTGTCATCATTATTATTCAGACCAGCTGTCCTGAGGAGTCTGGGACTGACAGTGACAATTCTAGGCTCGCAGCCTTGCAGACTTTTAGCCAAAGAGGTAAGGGGGGTTTTCACTTACTGGATCAATTTAGAAAAAGATATTACTGGCTACCTTTGGAACATGCTAGAAACGCACTCACAAAAGACTTAAGCACAGAGGAAAGAAATCAGGCATTTATCTTTGCTTTCATTTAGAACCTATACCTTAGCACAACCACAGAGTTGAGGAGGCCAAGCTTCTACTTATACATTACTGCAACTAATACATAAAGAAGAAAACCTCCAAGACTATCTTTGGCTAATGCATGCCCACCTTATCAGGAATAATAACAGAGGATATGGTTTAGCATCTTTCATCCATGTATCTACGCAGTAAGTAGAAAACCCAGGCCTGCCAAGTCCTAGACCAGAGGTCCACAAACTTTTTCTGAAAAGTATTTTCAGCCTTTGTGGACCATAAGATCTCTGTGTCGAATCATCTCTGCTCTTGAAGCATGAAGGCAGCCATATCTGTTATGTAAACAAATAGGTGGGTCTGTGTTCTAATAAAACTTTATTTACAAACACAAGTGATGGGCCTATCACCAACATCTGTCCTAGACCAACGCTTTTTGAAATCTGAATGAATCACCAGAATAAGAACTGAATTAAGCCAGGAAATATGTGTTCTAGGATGCAATGGGAGACTTTTTTTTGCCCCTTCCTCAGTTTTCAGATCTGTAAAAGTGGGAAACAAGCAGGATAGGATGGTTTCTGGGGTCCTCTCTGTCTTGATGTGCTAAACTTCTGGAGCCATCCATCCTACCGCAGAGGTGGTTTTGCCTAAGGGAGGGGGCCCAACTGACATCTCTTTGTGAGGAGACCCAGCAGGCTCTGCAACTTGCATGGGGCTTGTTTCCCAGGAACTTTGCAGCTTGTGGCTTCACCTTTGTAGCCTGAGTCAATCTGTAAAGTACAATCAAAACGACTGGGTTGGGAAGAGGGTGAAGGGGTCCAAGAGCAGAGAGGCCTCCTGAATCTTGGGGCCCTGGTCTGTCCCAGATTCTTCAACCTCCTTAGGGTGTGTCAGTCTTTCTGCTCTCACTGTGTGTGCTTGGGGGGGTGCACTCTGGGGGGTGAGGACAGAAAGCAGAGGAGAGTGAGGGGTCAGTAAGCTTGGAGGAAGGGAGAAAAGTCTCAGTCTGGATTTCCATGATGAACCTACAGGGGCCCCTGCTCTACAAAGAGTCCCTTTCTCTCTCTCCCTCTCTCTTTCTCTCTCAGACACACATACACACACACACACACTATTAGACCCCTCCAGCCGCCATAGTAACACCCTGTAGATTGGGTGATTTAAACAATAGACATTTATTTATTTCCTTAGTTCTGGAGGCTGGAAGTCCAGGATGGGGCGCTGGCCAACTCAGCTTCTAGTGAGAGCCCTCTTCCTGGCTTGCAGAGGCCACCCTCTCACTGTGTCTTCACATGACCTTCCCTCTGTGTTCATGCCACGGGTGGAGAGAGAGAGAGAGACAGAAAGAGACAGAGACAGAGAGGGCGAACTCTCTGGGGCTCTTCTCATAAGGACACTAATACTATCAGATCAGGGCCCCACTCTTATGACCTCATTTAACCTTAATTACTTCCTTAGAGGCCCATCTCCAAATGTAGCCACACTGGCATTTAGGGCTGCAACATAATGCGTTTTGGGAGAACACATATACTCAGTCCATAACACACACACATACACACACCCACAGAGAGAGCTACACAGACCTGTACGTGTGCACAGTCACACACACCAATTCACACTCTTGTGGGTTCAACTTGTGTACCCCCAAAATTCCTATGTGTAAGGCCTAACCCCCCTGTATCTCAGAATGTGGCCTTATTTGGAGATGGGGTCACGGCAGACCAAATTTGAAAGATGAGGTCCTACTGAAGGCGGGCGGGTCCTTCGTCCAATATGACTATGTCCTTATAAGGGGAACTTTGGGCACAGAGATGCACACAGGGGGAACACCATGCGAACATAAAAGCAGAGATCCGGGTGATGTGTCTATAAGCCAAGAAGCACCAGAAGCCAGGAGAGAGGCCTGAGACAGAAGGAACCAGTCCTGCTGACCTTGGTTCCTCCAGAACCAAGAAAGAATAGATTTCTGCTGTTTAAGCCCCCTCCCCACACCCCACCCCCAGTCTGTGCTGCTTTGTGGTAGCAGGCCGAGAGAACAGGCTAACCCAGGAAACTAGGGAGGCAGCTGGAGGGAAGCATGGCTTTAAGCCCCGGGCATATGCTACACTGTCCCGGTAGGAATTCATTAGCAAAACACAGATCCCAAGATAAACTACTAAGAACTTCAAGATGGTGAGTGCAGAGCATGAAGCCCGGAGCACAGGGTCCCTGCTGAATGTGAGGCCCTGCAGCACTGGTTGGAGCTGGCCAAGCTGATGCCCCAGCATCAGTCAGCAGCTCCTAGGATCGATGCACCTGAAGGCACATCCCCTTTGCTCCCCTCCTTTCCCTGCACAGCCCACGGCTGCCAAAGTGCTGAAGCCCCCGGGGGAGTCACTGGGCAGGCGGGGGAGCGGTACCTCTGTTCCTCTTGTCGGGGAAGTCATTCTCTTTAAAACTTGGGAGCTCTTGGTGGCCATCTGTCTCACCATGTGGAGGAAGTCGGTCTTTAAGGAGAAACACGAAGATGACTCAGAGCATCCGCGGAGGAGCTGGGATGCCTGCAGCTTTTGTTTTCTTGCTTCTGACTGCTTCCAACACTCAGCATCCTCCCTCTCCGTGCAGGTTTCTTGTTCAGTCATTCTGGGAACCCACTGAGCCAAAATAAATAAATAAATAAAATTAAAATAAATGACACCCAAGAAAGTTTTCTGAGTCGGAGCTAGTCTGAGAATGGATTTTGTTTTGAACAGAGTCTGGACAAATATTGTTAAAATCGCTGGCCCTAAAAGATATCACTTATGGACATCCACTCTGGTATTCATCCTAAATCACTACAGCACATCTTTCATTGTAATGAAGTGACTCCCAACCGTTTATTCGCTAAAATTCCAAATGCAATATGGCGAGGGTTGCCCACTGGCGTTTTCCTAACTTGTGTCTTCCGGTGGCGGGGGGGGGCACGCCGGGGAAGAGGCCAGGGCTGAGGAAAGGGGGTGTCCTTTGTTTTCAGATGGTGTTGGGTCTACATTCAGGTTATGTGAACCCAAGGAAGATTTCTTAAAATCACCAGGACTCCACGTCCTCGCCATAAAGTGAGAGAGATACCGGATAGGGTTGTTACCAGCAGGACCTACTGTCACACCTACCCCAGGACCGGGGCTGGGAAAAGGGCTGCCCCAGGATGTGGGAACGAGGAGTTTCACAGGACATGGACATTTCAGGGCTAAAACTGAGAAGGCCCTGGGCAAATGGGAACAAGTTACAAGTTCGTTCGTCACCCTCATCGTAAGCGTAGGAGCTGTAAGCAGGCGTGATAAGAACATTGGCGCTCTCCTTCCGCCCCCATTACCCTAACACACCCGCGTCACAGGTCTGTGCCCTTGGGAGACATCTAAGGCAAGTCTCATGACCTTCAGAGTCATCTTAGGTAATAAAGGTGTCCAATTAGTCACACGCAAGGGAAAAATAGTGTCAGTTCAGTAATTGAAATGCTTTTGGCAGGTTGCCTGCAGCGGCGTTGGGCATGGCCAGCTTGTTCTTTATTTCCCCACCTGGAGCTTCTGCTCCTCCTCTCCTGCTCCGCAGGCACCGTTCTCACCTGCATACTCCCTGGTGCCTGTAAACGCATCTCCTCCGGGTGCTCACGGAAGGACCGCCTCCTTTGTCTTTGGGGTCCATCAGTCCATTTCCAGCCTCTCTGCAGGGTTCACCTTCCACCTCCAGGTGGCGCTGGTGGAAAGCACAAAAGACACCTGATTCATTCATTCCGTCCCAGATGTCTGCAGAGCTGTGAGCCACAGCCTTGAGCCCTCGAGATGGTTCAAACTTGAGCTGGACCCCATTCCTCTCTGAGCCTGTCCTGACCCCATACTGAATGCTCTGAGCGGTCCAGTGGAAGCTACCCCCCTCGAAGCTTGAAGCGAGGAACTGACACGCTTGCTACCCTCCTGCATGAGGACTCACAGCTCTTGGACAGAAACATGCAAAAACAACATAACTCTTCTAATTCCAACACCGCTTTTCCACACCTTCAGGTGAACATGCACCCCAGCCCTGACACCTGAGCAGCACTCCTCAGAACCATCAAGGTCGTTCAAACCATTAAGGTCATTCAAACCATCAAGGTCATTCAGAACAAGGAGTCTGGAAACTGTTGCAGTCAAGAGGGGGCACGTTGTATCAGTGTCACGTATCCTGTAGCAGAAGAAAGGACATTAAGTAAAAACCAAGGACATCTGAACACAGCACGGACTCTAGTTAGCAGCAGTGTATCGAGTTTGGTTCATTAATTGTGACAAATGCACCGTAGGATATTGACAATAGGGACAAGTGGTAACAGGTCAGAGGATAGATAGGCGTCTGTGTATTCTCTTTGCAATGTTTTTGTAAATCTGAAACCATTCTAAAATTAAAAGTTTCCTTGTTAAAGGGTGAGAGAAAGCAGCACGGGCGCAGGGCCTGGGACCAGGTAGAGGATGATTCGGCTTGATGCCGGGAACCTGCCACCCACGTCTCTCTCTGCCATGCAGATCTTCCCAGCGGACGCTGGGATGCTGTGGAGCAGACACCACCCTCCCCACTGCGCTCTGCCCAAATTCCCAACCTTACAATCCATGGGCATACTAAAATGATGGCTGTTTTATGTCACTAAGTTTGGGCTGGTTTGGTATAAACTGATAGCTAACCAGAAGAGAAAACCAATGCTGGGAGCCGGCACGGCTCCTGCTGGCTGCCAGTTTTTGCAGCTAGGTGGCGGCCAATGATTGTCTCCAGCCAAAGGAAGACAGAGAAGAAGCAAGGCACCCACTGTTCTCCCCGGAAGTCTAACGTCCAACACAACCTCACTCAGGACTGTAATGGTGCCATCCTGCCCATCTCCACCCTAAAACCCTCATTTCCAGCCTCAGGCCATTTGCCCCACCCCAGGAGGCTCCCCAAGGCGGAGCAGGAAGCACCACACACGAGGGTCCCTTTGCCCTGTTCCAAAGACCCCCATTCCGGTTCTGCAGTTTGAGAAAGGGGGCAAAGCTGTGGTGGTCACACTCTCTCCCTGCTCTGTTTTTGGCCCCACAGCTGGTCTTTTGCTGACCCTTCAGGAAATGAGATATAGTTTATTGCAACATCACACTCCCCAAAGCCATCCCCCACTGAGCTTCTCTCGCTGTGAGTCCTCACTGACCCAACAAATATTCAGACCGTCAGATTCCAACTCATAAAATAGCATTACCGTATGCTCCAACTGCTGCATCTGGACATGTGCCTGAAAGAATCGAAAGCAAGGGATTCAAAGGTGCATATTTGCATCAGATATTTGCACACCCTTGTTCACAGCAGCACTGAAGGTAGAAGTGATCCGTCAGCAGATGAACGGATACACACAATGTGCTGTATACATGTGTATTAATCAGCTTAGACTGCTATCATAGAATATCATAGCTGGGTGGCTGAAGCAACAGAAATGTGTTATCTCATAGTTCTAGAGGCTAGAAATCTAAGATCAAGGTGCCGGCAGAGCTGGTTTCTTCAAATATAGTCACATTGGAGGTGAGGGCTTCAACATATGAATTTGGGGCAGAGAAGGGACTATTACACAGCCTTAAAAAAAGTAAGGAAATTATACATTTCCCCTGCTACAACACGGATGAGCCTTGAGAAGATTATGCTCAGTGAAATAAGCCAGGACCCAAAAGTACAAATACTAGATGAAACCACTTACATGAAGTTTCCTAGAGCTGTCAGATTCATAGAGACAGAAAGTAGCTACCCCGGGGCCGAAGGGAGAGGGGAATGGGGGGTGACTGCTTCACAGAGAGTTTTGCTTTGGGAAGACAAAGTTCTGGAGGTCAACAACAACATGAACTGACTTCATGCCACCGAGTCAGTCCACTTGAGGGCTTTCTTTGCTCTTGGCTGGCGTTGTACCTGTGGCAATTAGACCCTGGTCTGGGAGGCAGGAGACAGAAGCCTGGGGCAGGCTCCCTGTCTTGAGCACCCCTCCCATTTCTGGAATTGTTTTATTTATCCAGCTATTTAACAAACATTTATTGAGCATCCACGATGTACTGGGCTTTTTTTTTTTTTTTTTTTTTGGAAGGGCTATTACTATTTTTAAAAAGTAGCCAAGATCCTCACCTTCATGGAGCTTGTATTCTGCTTGGAAAGAGGGACAGAACCAAGTAAATAAATATTTATAGATTGCAATGACTGTTAGGCTGGCTATAAGCAGGGTGATACAATATAACATAATGGGTATGTGGAGAACATAACATAATGGGTGTGTCGAGGGGAGGTCTTCCCTTTAGGAAGGGAGTCCGGGAAGGCTTGGAAGGAAGTGTGTTTATGAGAATTAAAGACTGCAAGGTATCCAGCCCTGAGGCCCCTCAGGCAGGAATTTCAACAGGTGCAAAGGCCCTGAGGCAGGGGAGAGTTGGCATGTTCTTCTAAAATCTGAGCACGAGGCCAGTGCTGCCGGGACAAAGCAGGCTGGTCAGAACAAAGCACAGGGAGAAAGGTACAGAGCCAGATCACACAGAGCCATGAGAAATCTGAATTTTTATCTAAGTGGGAGAGGCAGTAGAGCACGAAATATGCCTTCGTAGCACTGAGAAGGAAGATGCGCAAAGTCCTAAGCCCTCCTTATCTTATCTTTGGCTTCTCACATCTCACACTTGAGTGCCCCTTGTTTTTCCCTGAGGAGGCAGTGAATAATGTTTAGAGTAGATTCTGCACTGTCCCCTCCTCTGACTCCCCACAGAGATCTCTAGGCTCCTGTGAATGGTGCTGCTGGGAACATTCATGTACGGGTCTTTGTCTGAACACCTGTTTTCAGTTATACGAAACACCCGGAACTGGTCAATCCACAGAGACAGAAAGTAGATGAGCGGCTGTAAGGCACTGGGAGGACGGGGAAACGGAGAGTAGCTGTTTGGTGCAGACAGGGTTTCCTCTGGGGGCATAAAACGTCTTGGAACAACACTGAGAATGTACTAAATGCTGCTGGGTTGTTTGTTTAAAAATGGCTAATGGTTAATTTTACATTGTATGAATTTTCCCTCCATTAAATAAGTAAATAACCTTGTAAACATGGTGAAGGCTAAACAAGTATGTCTGTGGGTCTCATCTGTCCCTCTGGCCATGACCTTGAATCTTCTTCAGGCTTAAAAAAAAAATAAAAAGACAAACATTACACAGAAAAATATACATGGTTAGATTCCATTTACATGAAGTTCAAACATAAGCAAAATGAAACAACATTTTCTTTAAAGAGTAGAATTATAGTTTGCAAAACTACAAGGAAAAGGGAAGGACTTATTTAAAATCCAGGTTGTGGTTGGTAATCTCGGAGCTGGAGGTGGGGATGAGCTCAGCTAAGAACATGAAAGCAGCTTCCAAGATCCGAGTTCTTTTTCTCAGCCAGGGTTCTGAGAAAGCGAGTGTTTTTTATTCTGGTTCTTTAAATAGGATGTTGGGTTCTTACACACACTTTTGCATATCTGATGCATTCCACATTTAAAAATAAATGTTTGCTGAATTTCAAAAAGACACATGGACGTAGGGTAAAACGTTAGCAACAGGGGAACGTGAGTGAAGAGTATGTGGGTCTTCTTTGCGTTATTTTGATTCTTGCAACTTCTCTGTAACTTCGAAATTACGTTCGAAAAGTTTCAAAATGTATTTAGAAAGGACAGGATTGTAGATTTCAAGAAGCTTCTATTTTCCTTTACTGCAAAAAATATAAGATGAAGAGAAGCAAGTTAATGTTTTGGCAAATTATCCCACAGTACGATGTGGTTCCAGGTACTAGCCGTTGGTGGATCTCTATTCCTTTCCCCCACCTCTGAGAAGTCCACACAGACCCTGTGTAGGAAAGAGGGTGAAGAGTGCAGGCCCCCTGCACTAACAGCCATTCCCAAGACCAAGGCGGACATCTCTCAGAGCCTCCCCGAGCCAGCTGGCCTCAAAGTCAAGTAGGAAGAAAAAAAAAACAAAAATGTGTTGCTGATCCCATTCCCTGGCTTTTATCTCAGTTTATAATTACACGTGCATTAGCGTGATTATGTGATGAATATCTGTTTCCATCACCAGGCTGTCAGCTCTTCGGGGGTCCCATTTTTGCTCTCTCCTGTATGCCGGCCCAAAGTGCCACTCGATAATAAGAACAGCAGGGCTGATCGGAGTCGTGCCTGGGTGCCAAGGCTCTGCAAGGAGTAGGACAGCACCACTCTTGGCAACGGCTCTAGAAGGTAAGCCCTGAGAGGAGCTCTCTGAAGGGATGAAGAAGTGGAAACCCAGCGGTCCAGCAACGTGCTCGGGCTGTGGAAGGTGGAGCTAGGGTTTCCCTGGCCACTGCCCCACGCCTCCTCTACCTGTCGAAGGAGGAGGGGAACCCCCCCCATTCTTAGCACGATGCTGACTTCAGTACAGAAAGAAAGGAAGAGAGTGTCCTACCAAAGAGCGCCCCACTGACTCTGAGGTGGGGGCGCGGTCTCAGTGAACCAACAGGAGGCCACCCCACATTTCCTGGACGAAAAGGAATCTCCTTAGTGAGGAGGCTGCTGGGAGCCCTGGGATGCTAATTGCAATTATACCTACATAATTATTTATGTCCTATAACACGTCGTGTTATAGAAATATTATGTGGCATGTTATATTATAAGTATTATGATATATTTATACGTTATGTATATTACGTTCCATATATGTAATATTATGAATGCTATATTTATATAACATGATAGGCTAGTAATACATTTATA